AAAATTGGAGTGAAAAATTTAAAATTGGGATTAAAACTTTAACATTGGAGTAAAAAAAACTTAAAATTGAGGTTAAAACTTTAAAATTGAAGTTAAAAATTTAAAATTGGAGTAGAAATTTAAAATTGAAGTTTAAAATGCAGGTTAATTTTTCGGTTGGTGGTAACTATCCATCACCCAGAACTCGCCTTACAATCCTGCAGCTCCCTAGCAAAACTGCTTTCCGTAATTGTTGAAACAGCTTCTCTCTAAGGTTGATCTTCCTAAGACTATCAAACAACTTCACAGGAATCTCCCCCGTTGCTCCAATAATAATTGGCACAGTTATTACTTTGTCCAATTTCCAGAGGCACTTGATTTCGTCCGCCAAAGGCATGTACTTACTTATCTTCTCAGCGTAAGTGCTCTGGATATTAACTATCATATTATTGGATTATCGTATTATGGATATATTATTATTATTATTATTATTTTGTGTGTTTTCTTTTTCCCCCTTTCTTTTTTCTTTTATCATCAGTTGAATTTAATTTTATGTCTGATCTGGCAGATTAATTTGGGCATCACAATTTGCCGGGCAGATTAATATTGTTCTTTATTTTATGTTTTACTTTTTGAATAAAATATCTTATCTTATCAGAGTAGGGTGAAAATGGGAATTTGAGGCCAGTAAATTATCCAACAGCGTTGCATGATTGTGCAGAAAAATATGAATTAAATTACAGCGTTGTATAGGGATTATTGTTGAATATGGCNAAAATTATATTTTGTAGTATTTTTACAACTAAAAATGTAAATATTTAGTAATTGCTTTAAAATTATTTTTCAAAAACATTTTCATTTAAATATTGCAAAAATATTTTAAAAATAATTAATTTTAATATTTTAAAAATTTGATTGAAAAGATATTGTAAACTTTTTTTACAGTATTTTCGTGGAATTATTTTCTTGAAAATATTTTCCAAACAACGGCAGTATTTCTAAAATATTTTCAAAATATTTTGTTCTAACTGGGGTATCTCCAATATTAATTCAAAAATTCTAATTGACAGAGTCATTTTCTGCGGTAAAATTTGCAATCACCTTAAGTACAATGTTGGTTCAGTTTCTCTTTTTTTTGCCATCCTTTATCAAATTAATTTTAAAGTGGGGCTCCTTTACATACAAATGTGAAGTACCTGCGATTCAACCTAACATTGACATTCATTAACATTTTTTGTACCATATCTATTGCAATTTTTTTCCAACGAATTGATTTTAGCCCCTTCAAAAAGGAGGATAGGCAATTTGCACTTAGCCATTCATCTATATGGAAACTTAATGAAATAAAATAAAAAAAAAAGTTTCTCATTTTTAAGAGATTTCCAAATGGAGACCACTGGTTTCCGCTGCAGGGCCCATTACGTCCACAAATTACGCAAGGAAGTGGGGGAGGGTGACAAGGGCTGCCTTAGGGGTATTGTTGAAGTAAGGTGGCCAAGGGGCAGAAAATTCCTTTCGAGAGGGAGGGGGTCTTAAAACTGGAAAAAGTGCCTTGCGTAATTTATAGGACGGCCCCATAGCGGAAAATAGCAAATTTAAAAGGCATAATCCAGCTGTACTCTGATTGGATGCTTGGATCTAAACCTATTCACGCAACTGATGCCGAATCGATCCACTACTGATACAGTTTCGATTTCAACCGACACGAGTCTGGCCACAACTGATATAACTTGGATCTCAACCGACACGAGTCCCGCCTTATGTACCACATGTTGGATCTCAACCGACACGAGTCCGGCCTCAACTGGTACAAGTCGGATGTCAACTGACTCTAGTCCAGCCTCAACTGGTACCAGTTGGATGTCAACTGACTCGAGTCCGGCCTCAACTGATACCAGTTGGATCTCAACTGACTCGAGTCCGGCCTCAACTGGTACCAATTGGATCTCAACTGACTCGAGTCCGGGCTCAGTTGAGCATCTACAGGTATCAGTTGGAGTTCAACTGATATCAGTAGAAGCTCTACTGATATCAGTTGAAATCAACTGATATCGGTTGATGCTCAAATGATATCAACCGATATCAGTTCAAATTATAACTGATCATTTTTACCAGGGTTATACCACCAGTTTTAGCATGGGGCTATTTCCTGAGAGCCGATAATATCGCGAATTTCTCATAGAACCCTTCTAAAATGGATTGCTTTTTGGGCAGCCGATTCGGCCATCGAACCGGGGGTTAAATAGAAGCTGATAATAACACATTGCTCCACGAAAAATTTTGAGATGAGTATGGGAACGGTTTGTATAAATAATGAGGAGAGGCGGGCAAAGCGGCTAAAATTCGATCTAATTTTTGCCGTTTTCTGTTGAATTGATGTTGCTACGGACTTCTAACTGTGTCCACTTATGGTTTCTGTTCAGCATATCGATACATACATAGGCATTTTTACACGTAGAATCTAATTTTCACGTCAGGGAGTGGACATGCTTTGATTTTTTCAAGTTTTTACGGGAAATTGATGGTTTTTCGGGATTGAAATTACTTCTCATTGTTTCATGAAAAAAATGCACCCAAAATGACTATACACATATTAACATATAGCCTTTTACATATTTGCATTCACGAAATTGATTGGTAATTTCAACGAGTGGGTACATCGACCTAGTAAATCAAGTTTCTGCAATTTTTTACGGCAAATCGGTAGATTTTCGGGATGTAGGTTGCTTACTTTCAGTTCAAGAATGAATAAAGCATGGACATGGTTGAACTTCTTTGCATGGAAAAATGTTGAAATAACAAAATCAAGACATATTTAATGCAATTGCATTTACATCGAGTCAATTTCTTTTCAAAAATATAACGGGATTTATACTACCGGTGATTTGCGTATTTTAGCCCCAAAAAACCCTTAAATCGACTTTATCTTTCAGGAGTTCGACAGTATTTTTCCTTTCTTCGCTTAAATTATTCCGCAGCACTTTTCTTCGAGAATCTTGTAAGATTTTGCTAGAGGCAGATCAAAAATCTTGAACTCGTTCGAATGGCTTTCTACATTCACAATATACGGTCTCGTCAAGGTGCGTCGTTGTCCTAGCAGTAATGGATCGTGAATTCTCTTGTTTATATTTATGGGAAAACTTAAAATCAATATAAAAATAAGTTCAAGACAAACCACGTTGCTATTCATTTTTACGTATAATTAAATTACTTACATGCCGAAGCTTTTCGAGACCCCAGGTCCCATCGTCAGGGCTTACATCAGCAACACATGCAAAACTAAAAAGAAACTACAAAGCAACTAAATAAGCAAAGTGAGGAACACCATGGTGAAGGCAATTACATAGCAATTTTGAGATTAAATATCAAATAAAATAAAATACAAGTTGGATTTTGCAATCGCTAGCGATAGCAATATTCGTCATGGGAACTTTAGCTTCTGGGATATGAAAATGTTAAGGTACAGTTCGTTTGTAGTATCTTCTGAATTGAAGGGGCTATGTAATTTTTTGTTGACATCTCTTTTTTAACATTTTTAATTATTTTCTTTGCATACAAGAAAGCTGTTATGTACCAATTATTTATTTTCGTTGGATTATATATGGTTTTCGGAGGTTAACGCATTTAAGTTTCAGGTTCGCTTCTTCGGCGTAAAGTACATAAGGTGTCCCA